GATCATGAAAAAGACGGTGACGACGGCGACAGCAGCAACGACAGGGGACAGCGAGCAGCGACAACAGCAACCGCAGCAACAACAATAGTCAACAACAACTAATAATAATAACGATAATATCAGTGATATTATAAGTGCAGTCCATTTAGGTTCTGTTATTTCTGTTTCTTTGTGTCTTTTGGGGTAGGCTTATTTTCTCAAAATGACATTTTGCTTACTTAAAACCAAAACTCTCAGATCACAGTAGGTATAGCTACCAAATTTTACACTGATTATTGGCTTACACTGACCTTTAATGGTTTTTGGCCTTTTTTGATATCTTTCATCTTTTTAGGTGAAAAAGATGTTTTTCTGCATATATGACATTTTCCAACCCACTAAAACAAATATTTTGACAAATGCCTCTGACTAGACCCGGCTAGAAATGCATTATTTTTCTCATACTGGCCATTTCTGCAGCACCTCCATTCACACCATCTGACACACTCCACTTTCATCACTAAAGGACAGGGAAACCCCAAAAAGCATAATACTGCCTCTGTAATACATTTGTTATATATATTTTCATTAGAACTAGGCCACTGTTGCTCCTTCTGTAGTGCCTCCCACCGGACAGAATTGAAGTCAGTTAAGTCATTCCAAGTGAATTTTATTTATATCAGTTTGCAACCTTTTTGACTTTTGACCATTTACATTTATTAGTCTTGTCTTAGTTGATGTCAATAAATGCAGGTCATATATGCTCATCAGTCAGAATAAAACCTTCATGAAATCTTTACTACAGAACAGACAGGTGAGGAAAAACCCTTAAAAGCACTTTTTAGGTAGAATAAGGCTTAAAAAGGCCCAGTGTGCAGAAATAGACTATAATATTGATGGCTATATTTTCATTACCTAAGAAGGAGCTCTTTTATCTACAGAGGTAGCAGGTCCTCTTCTACAGAGTTCGCCATGTTCCATGTACAGTAGTCCAGAAGGGACCAACCAAATACTAGATACAGACTGGCAAGTTTCACAGCCCCTGTAGTTTCTCCTATGTGCTTGGAAGGGGAGGGTGAGGGGAAGGCGATGGGCTTGTAATCTGCAACTAATAATAATTTAGGTGCTACTAAATCCTACACACTGGACCTTTAAAAAGTGCAAGTAGGCATGTACTGGCAAGCAATAATAATATATAGCTATATAATATTTGAACATAAGCTAACTTTAAGCTAAATCAAATTAAAATGATGGTAAAGACCTATTCAGCATCTATATTGACTAGTGTTGACATTTCCTGGCAAGTCTTAAAGCTGTTCAAACCACTACACCTTGCAGAATGACATTAGTGTTGACCAGCTCCATCAAACTCCAGTTCCCAACAACTCCGATACAGCTGTCCGTCCATTAAAGATGACATCATTCACTGATACACCATCGTAGGAGGAACCAACCAGAGACAGTGAGAGATTATTCTTCCTTATGAAGCTACGCATAGACTCTGGAAAGAAAGACACAGTGAGTAAGGAAATGTATCATTCATTTACAGCTGAACTCAAATATACTGTTAGCCAGCAACAGTTATACACAACTCAGACAAATGTATTTATTATACAATTTAAATTATATTCTATGTAAAAGTGCAACTCCTTGTGCGTGGGATGTCTGTGTGACACAAAGGGTGTTGATGAGTTAACTGGCTGTCGGGTGTTAACTTGTAAGGCATCACAAGCACATTTCAACACTCTGAACACTTACTGACTCCAAATTATGTTTCTCTAAACCTTGTAATTTTTTAGATGTAGAAGTCAATACTTACTTAATTTCTGAAAGTGTCCTTTATAATACTGAGGTATACAGTCCTGACGAGAGAGAAAAACATCCAACATTTCAGCACTATTATAACATTATAATAATTGCCAATAATACAGTCCAGATGCATTATTAGTTTGTGGTTAGGGGACATAAATACATATATTCAATTCAATTCAATTTTATTTGTATAGCGCCAATAATCAATAATAATCATAACAGAAGTTATCTCAGTACACTTTTCAAATAGAGCAGGTC